GTATATAGGTATGTGTGTGTGCATTTTGGGCCTCTTATTAAAAAAAAAAATGTGCCTGGCAGCTAGTAGGTGCTTGTTTAAGTGGTAAAACCCTGGTAGCTCTGAAGGCCTATGCAGGAAATTCAATCCCAGTTAAAGAAAAAAACGTGAAATTGCATGAAAACCTTGGATTGGGACCCCTCAAGTAATTAGCATCACGGTTTGGAGTACGTCTCTTGACTCCAGTCAAACTTGGGTGTTAGTCTTGTGACTACCTCTTAGTAGCTGTGATCTTAGGTGAATTACTTACCTTCTCTGTGCCTTGCTTATAAAATGTGGAAAGTCAAGGTGAGGTATGTAGGGTTCCTCTGCTCAGACTCCCACACCTGCTGCTCCTCTTGTCAGTGGTGGTGGTGGTGATGTTTTTGCTGTTAAGGATGACGGTGTTGATATTACTGTCCTCTGACTCGGGGTGCTGAAAGAGAAGCAAGCAGCCTTCCCAAGCGTCTGTTGGGTCTCAGAACCTATCGCTAGTAGTTCATAGAAGAGGCCAGTGGACTGGAGGCCTCCTGAGGTGGACAGAGTTGGAGGACTGGCAGTCAAGAGAGCTAGAAGCTGCAGGGGGCGCTGTAGGAGGTGGATGCTGGGGGCTGGGATGTGTGTGTGGGTGCCTGAACTCAGTGGAGGTGGAGCTTGGCACGGAGAAGACGAGGGCTTGGTGGGTTGACTCTTGGGCATATGTGCCTCCAAGTAACAGCCTGTCTTAGGGTGGGAAGGAAGATGGTGCCCTGTGCCCAGTCTTCCACGGTGCCACGTGTTCGTCCCACAGCAGTTGGAAAGGGGCTGGTAATGTTTGGGATCGAAGCTCCTGAACCAGGCCCAGAGGACTTCTGCCCCATACCACAGTTCCTCTTACTCCCCAAGGGACCCTTGACGGCCCTGCCCCAGCAAGTGGTCTTGTCCAGTCGAGCCAGGCTGCCCATGAGACGTTGCTTTCGTGGGGTCCACCGAGGGAGACTGGCCTGTGTGCCCCTTGGCCAGGAATCAGTTCTACAGTGCTCCACAGACACCCCGGCTCTGAGAGCCATGCGGGCTCTTCCACTCCCACAGCTTGTCCCAATCGCACCACATCCGGAGGGTGGCTGCCAGTGGCTTTGTCTGCCCAGCCCACTGGTCTGTGGAACATTTCTCTCTTCCACCTGCCAGGCACCCGTGGGGGCTGCCATGTTCATCTGATGGTAGGAGAGTCACCACCAGGGCCTCAGTTGGATTCTTCTACTGAGCAGCAAGGGAGCAGCAAGTTCTGTCTTTACTTCCTTGGCTCTGACTGGTGGGGTAAGGTCCTCCCCTGGGGTGTGTAATTGGATTCAAGGACGCTGGGCAGTGAGCCCCAGCTGCTGGACTTTGAGAACGGGTTGTCTTTGGACTGAGGCTGCCACTCTTTGGTGCCGTTTTCCATCATGGGCAGGGAGAGGAGGAAGCAGAGAGAAGGGCAGAGACAGGATCAAGTGTCCTTGTAGAGGGGAGTGGCTGAGACAGAAGCCGGGTGGAGAGCGGCATTTCTCAGCCCCCAGAGGCCAGGTTCCACCTACACAGTGAGACACCGTTGACAGGCAGCCAGTGGATCCTCCTGTATCACTACAGCTTGTTCAGAACACTGAGTGTTCTTGTCACTTGACAACTGAGAGAGCCTTAAGTCTGTCCTTGTGTCTGGGTTTTCTAGTTCTTTTTTTGAACCTAATATTTTTACTTTATTTGAAAAAGTAACCCATTTTGTCAAATAAAGTGAAGAATTAAAAAGTAGGAAAGGAAATGAATGCAAAATGAGCCTCTTTCTTATCCGAGACACCCTCCTCAGAGGCCACAATTGTTGATGCTTTCTTGTGTAAACTTCTGTAGACTTTTTTTTTGTTTTAGGAGTAGAGGAAGACAGGGTCTCACTGTGTTGCCCAGGCTGGAGTGCAGTGGCGTCATCACAGCTCACTGCAACCTCAAGCTTCTCGCCTCAGGTGATCCTCCTGCCTCAGCTTCCTGAGTCGCTGGGACTACAGGCGTGCACCACCACACCTGGCTAATTTTTCTATTTTTTGTATAGATGGAGTCTCACTGTGTTGCTCAGGCTGGTCTTGAACTCCTGGTCTCAAGCAGTCCTCCTGCCTCAGCTTCCCACAGAGGATTACAGGTGTGAGCCACTGTGCCTGGCACCTTCCATAGATATTTAATCGGGGGAGGAGGGCAGTAGGTTTTGGACACGTAGGGTATGAAGTTTTGTGTTCTGTCTTGATCTCTTTGTCCTGTGTCTTGGAGTCCATTCCACATGTGCACATGTGTATCTTGCTCATCTTTTTAATAGCCTCATAATATTCAGTTATATGGACCTGTCAGCAGACATATAGATCCATATTATGAACAAGTATTCGATACTGTAAATGCTGCAGTATAACATCCTTGTGACATTTTGCACACATGCCAGCATGTATGGATATACTGGTGCGTTTGCTGGGTAAAAGAGTATCTGTATTGAAACTTCTGAGACAAATTGCCAAATTGTCATCCAACGAGGTTAAACGGGTATATTCTAAGCACCAGTGTTTTCCCACACTCTTACTAATGTTCATAACTATTAAACTTCCCTAATCTAACATACGGAATGTGGCATCTTGCCTTAATTTTTTTCCATTTATTATGAATGAAGTTAAGCATCTATTCATAGCATTATAAGCCATTCGTACTGCTTTTTCTGGATCTTTACTATTAATTTAGCCCATTATTCTCTCTTGGATGGCTAGTTTTTTCCTT